GTGTGTGTGTGTGTGTGTGTGTGTGTGTGTGTTTACATCTGAGATCAAACCCCCTGTTGTGAAAAAATTCTTGCTGCAAACATGATTTCGTTGTAGACGAGTTTTACTGTAATAGCTGTGATGCTTTGACTCCGAAAGCTACCTAACAGGATGTACGCCTGACCAGATGTTGTTATCTATCAGGGCTGAAGAGACGTGTGTGTGACTACTGCTAGAGCTAGGTCAATAATAAACTGTTGCTTGCTTCAAACCGACTACGTCTTATTTACCCACACCACGACATGATGTCAGAAGTGGGATAGCGGTAAAGATAAGAAAACCTGTATCAGTAGTAAAAAGAGCACGAAGAGCAACCTTTGAGGCTGAGAGTGGGAAAAAAAAGCTTTGTGCCCAGAAAGAACGTGATATATGAGAGAGCTAAATTCAAACTGAGAGTGCAGCAACCAGGCGAGGCTGTTGATGTTTTCTGTACTGCACTGTATGCCCTGGTGGAAAACTACAAATACGACTACTACTACTACACTCCACGACGAGTTAATAAGAGACCGCATCATGGTGGGGCTGAGAGACACCAGTTTATCCACGTGGATAAACAGGAGGACGCAGATTTGACGCTGGAAAAACATGGCAAGGCAGTCAGAAGTAATAAAAAAGCAGCAAAATGACCTCAGAGGAGGAGGTATCATGGACATTGATGCAGTAACAAAAGGAAGAAAACAAAAATAATTCACACACAAGACCGCACAGCACCCAAAGCACTCATCAGCAAAGCCACAGCCATCATCATCAGATCGTCAGACATGCTACAGATGTGAAAAGTCACTTGGTCATGCCAAAGCACAATGCCCAGCTAGAGATGTCACATTTGGAAAGCGAGGCCATTACAGCAAAGTTTGTAAGTCTACCAAAACAGTACATGTTGAAGAGACAGACTGTAATGAGGACACTCCCTTATTCCTAGGCTCAGTAGAGGCAGGCTTAGACCCATGGTTTGCTGATTTGACTATAAGAAACCACAAAGTCAGGTTTAGGATTGACACAGGCGCCGAAGTCTCAGTTATTCCGATCCATATCTACCATGCCATTACAGAAGGCAACTCTCAGTTAGTCAAACGCGACAGACCACTATTTGGCCCAGGTCGCATACCGCTATCTGTTTTAGGCAGATACAGTGAGTCTCTATGCAAGGGAGAGCAAGTGATACAGGAAGAGATTTATGTTGTCAATGACTTAAATGTAGCCTTGTTAAGCAGACCAGCAAGCGTTAAGCTTTAACTAGTCTACTGAGCAGACACCATAGACAAGTCTGAAATGGAAGATGCCTACCCAAAAGTGTGTCAGGGTTTAGGAATGATGCTGCAGCCATACACTATCAAGCTCAGGCCAGACGCCATTCCCTACTCCCTGGCTAGTCCCCATCTCTTTACTAGGAAAAGTGAAAGAGGAGCTCAAGCGAATGGAAGACATTGGCGTCATATCCAGAGTGGAATAGCCAACAACTGGTATTAGAGGTAAGATCGGGCTGCCCGAGGCCGACCCGACCCGAATTTCGGGTCGGGTCGGGCCCTAAAATGTCAATCATTGGTTCGGGTTCGGGTCGGTCGGGCTTCTCTTTCGCTGACTTTTTTTTTTTTTTTTTTTTTTTATTAAATATTTTTGCAGCCAATTCAATAAATACAACCCTAACAGGAAGTCACTTTCAGATTTTCTCCTCCTTGACAGCGAAAGGCGAACTAAACCATTTTTCTGGGAGCGACAACCGAACAGAGCA